ATGGATTGTTTATAATCGAATATTCATTTTAATCTATATTAATGTCTCGTAATATAGGAGATTTCTATTCTTTATAATCGAATATAAGAGATTTCTACTCTTTTATTCTTTCACTTACGGTTTAGTTTGTTAATCCTTTGTAAATGAGCAACTAAGATCAGTAAATTTGATATTCCACCAAAAAAATATTGTTTCCTAATATATATATATATATATATATATCAAATATTTCTAATTTTTTTTTTCATTTGAGTTACTATTAATTATTTTCAATACTAAATTTATCTATATAACTTTTAAAAATTATAAAATTACTTGTAGAATAATATTTAATGTTTATAATGAAATATTTCTTTTCTGATGTGTCTAAATCTCCCATATGACCTATATTTAATCAAAATATTTAAAATATTATATAGTTTGGAAAATATTTCATGTTAAAAAAGACGTTACTCAAATATATTAATGGTTAAATGTTTGTCGAAAGCTTAATATGTCACACGGATAAATATTTTTTCCAACAATGTTTATAAAATTTTTTAAAATATAATAAATATTTAAAGTATTAACTAACAAAAATTTAAATAATATTTTTATATATCAAAGTGAAAATAAATACCCGCACGTCAAGCTCTAGTTATACATTGAAGTAGATGTACATATTGGATGCGTATGTGTGTTGCCAAAAAGGTAGGGTCGAGATATGTATATGGTGCTTTTTTGGTTAATAGTTGATTTTAGATCATATACATTTACAATTAGAGAGGATTATATGTATAGACTATAGAGAAGGTTTCAGGTGATGGACAAATTAAAGAAAGGATCGCGAGTGGGAAATTATTTAAACAAGAGCGAATTGATAATAAGTGTGCTAGTCTGGATTTTTCGGTATAGAAGTACAAAGTGGTCCTTACCCTAAACCCCATCTTTTCCCTTCTTTCATTATCATCTGCTTTATATATCTAGCCTACTCACCATCATTATCATGAGTTAATCTGGCACATTAAACAATTACTATAAATTGGGGGTTTAATCCCATAACAAACTACTTCCGTTCATTTTTGTGTGTCAATTGTAACCATAGTATGATATACACACTACATTCAAATTTGAAATGTTAGCGGGGTCTAAGACCATACGCTATGGTTGTAATTATGAGGCTTTTGATACGGAATTGGCTGTAGAATATTTAGCATTACCTTTTTGTTTAACAAAGTGTTTCGGATTTAAAATAATGAAAAATTTATACTATTGGCTTCGAAAAGAACTACCTAACACAAGGAAAAGCAAGACAATGAAAAATGAATTCTGTGAGATTTTAAGAGTGCTAGAGCAATCTTCAACCTTACTCCATTTTCACTGTAAAATAGAGATTAAAATAAATAAAAAATGTTCAAACCCTATTTTATTTTTCATTTTGTAATAATAGAGTAAGAAATGAAATTACTTTATAAATAGAATAATTTATTTATTTTTGTTTATTATTCTATTTTTCACTCTAATGTAGAGTATATTAGAATTTGATAAAAATAAATAAAAGAAAATAGAGTATGTTGGAGTAAAATCCAACTCAATTATATATAAAGTTATTCTAGTTTGAAAAGAAAAAAAAAATATTCATCGAAGATGGTCTTAAGTATTTTAAGAAGGTTAAAATTTCTGATGATTCAGTGATTACTGAAAAAGTTGAATGTGAAATCTGTATATGATTTTCTAATTCTAGTGTTTAAAAAATCATCAGTCAAGCCCTTAATCAAAGAAATTATTGTGATAATATGGGTATTGTAACGATAAATATATTTTGTTCTGTCAAATGAGGCAGCAACAGTATGTTTTATAACCATACTAGTCGTACTATCAATGTGATGATCCGTTGTGAATTAGTCTGTAGCTATGATCCGTTAAGGCAATAACATTTGGAAAGCTAAATATCCAGCTTCAAGTCTAAAGATCGAGACTGTTGATTTATTCTATGGATTCCATTCATGTCTAAAATTTAGAAATAGGTTGATAGGAGTTGAATGTATGGAACTAGAGAGGTCCCCCAGCCCCAGGACATAGCTTTGAAAAGGACGATGCTACGGGTTCCTCGTAATTTCTTGACATTTCTTGTATTTTTGGTTCTCTCTCTCTCTCTGCAAGAAATTATAGAAAAAAATAGACGTGAAGAGGAGAGAGATCAAAAAGAATTGTGTTCATTTATATAAAGAAAGATTCAGTGGGTTGCCTTTTCTTGTGCTTCGCTATTTCTACAGATCAATGTAATTTTATGACTCTTATATCTTTTGCTGATAGCCTGATATTATCAGACTAACATTTAAATCAAATATATGTGTTAATTAGGGGCGTCATATTATATAACATGCGCATGTAAGAAAATACAACCCATTGTATATAAAAAAGTTACAAAGAAAAGACGGTAAGACCATCTCCATTCACGAGGACCCCTAATGGGCATAAAGTATACCTCAGCAAACAATTTGATATATATATATATATATATATATATATATATATATATATATATATATATATATATGTGTGTGTGTGTATGATTAAGATACGAAACAATTTTGGAGTGTTGATTAAGATTCGAATCAATTACGATTAAACATAAGAAAACAATGTATCGATTAGAAGCTTTTGTGTCCAGCCAATAATAGACTGAGGATGAGATTTTGGACCACGTTTATGAATGTGCCAATACCTACTGCATGCTTAAAATTTCAACTTTTATAATTTTTCTTATAATCTAATTATGTAAACGCAACTTAATACCAGCTCAACCGTCAATGAAAATTTGTGACAGGCTGATATAGTAAGTAAATGGTATAATAGCGTCGATTAACAGGAAATATACTATACTATAGTAAATGGTATAATAGCGTCGATTAACAGGAAATAGACTATACAATTCTTTTTGATAAACTTTAATCATCAGCAAGCTAGCCCTTAATTACTGTTAACCGAAATTGGAGAAAGGGACAAGGAGTTGCTTAGTCTCTATCAGGACCACGTACTTCAAAAGATTATAGATTAACTAATACGTCTATACGTGAAAACAATCACTTTACATAGTTATCAAGGGATTTGTGAGGCCCCATTCGACACGTATCATGTTGTATAGAGTTACATATGCAATGTTACTAAATACGACATTGTTAAAGCATCTCTAACTATAGAATATTGAATGATAAAAGCATTGAAAAATAAGAAGAGAGAAAAATGATAAATAAACAAAACGGATCTAGTTTGAAAATCACTAGAAACAATATGACATGTTTTTATCATTTATCACTTTATGATTTGTTTTTTTAATCTAAAATGTAATTATTTAATGCATTTATAATATAAAAAAATTAGTGTTATATTTATCAAAGATAATGATGTTTTCATAAGGTTCATAAAAATTATACTTAAAACTATTTCTCCTTTTATTTTTTACTCTTTTTTTCCTTTTTCTTTTTAATAATAAATTAAGAATCCAAGGAAAAACTTTGGTTGGAGATCGCTTTACAAGCTATTAGTGTGATACGCTGGAATAAACAAAGCTATCTGTTTTCGTTTTGGAAAAGTTGTATATCGTGAGCCATAAACTCTAAGATTCTATTTTAGTTTTTTTTTTCTCGATTGGTTAAGAGGTTTCTAAATTCTATTTTCTCGCTCCTAGAAGAGTTTTGAATGATCTGTTCATCGACTTTGTTCTAAAGGAAAGCGATTACAGTTTCAAGCCACATACATAGTAGTGATTTTACTCGTTTATACTAAAATATTAGTCTAGTAATTTGAGGGTTAGATGATTTTAGGTTTATATACGTTATTTTCTTGTTTTTAGCATAAACTTTCTTTCAGTAAGTCATTGAGTAAACTTGTTTTTACCAGTTACTGTGTATCCAAGTTATAAATTGGCCTGCCCTATTCTTTTAAGGAAAACGTAACAGGTCAACCAATCATATTCCTTAAATTTGTTTTGGTCAAAACATAACATTATTATATATTCCATTCTAAACAAAGAGATATGGCTTTGTAGAAAATGTGACATTATTTCTCTTTTATTATGATAGACAATTTTAATAATGTAAATAGTAAACTATGTAACATGTAAGCACAGAATATTATACATAAATGTGTATATTAATTTATACACCAAGAAAAAATTAAGAGAGAGAAGGAACCATAACAAAAAGTCAACAGTAAATACCAGAACTAAAACAACATGCCAAACCTGTCTTTGTGAAACCAAATTTGCAGCAAACCCATGAAAAGGTCCCCATTTAGTAGTAAGCATTATTACGACCAAACTGTTAATTACTAAGTAGTAGACTCGTTGATCATTTGGCTATTGATAGTTTTTATAATTATTTGAAGTAAAACAAAACTTTCTCCCTAAGAATACGACATTATCCCAACCATCTACGTTCTGTATTCGTTAAACCAATCTGATTTCTTTGGCAAATTATACAGATTTTTTTGTATGGAAATTAATTAAAAGTATAGTTTATGAAAGAAGAAAAAGAAGGAACTAAAGATGTGGTAAAAGGACAATAAGGTCACATGAACTGAACCAGATCTATTCAAGGGTCCCTCTAAATTGGTTCTCTCTTGCCCATATCTCCATCATTCTCATCATAACATTATAACATTCAAGATTTCTCTCCTTTTTCTCTCATTCTTCTTTTTTCTAAAAAATCATAACAGTACTTTTTGTTTGTTTTCTCCCTCTATATTTCTGAGAGCTATAGCTATTGCAAAGAAACATTGAGAGAGATGGTGTTGATGATCAGTGAAGAAGTTAGGCAAAACCAACTTTCTATTTATGTATAATTAGGTAAATCCTATCACCAATTTAAACCTTTTTCCTCCTTTAAATCTCATTCCAAATTTAGGGTTTATTGCTTCTCTCCTCGTTTCTCAATTTTCGAAGCCACTCAATCGAATTCAAGCCAAGAACCCAATCTTAGGCGCCACACAATTAAGAGATCTGATACTTCTTAAAGATGATGACCAACTTGTCACTTGCCAGAGAAGGAGAAGAAGACAAAGACAAAGACGTAAAAGCAAAGAAGTCCATAGAAGAAGTTGAGAGAGAGCACATGTTTGACAAAGTGGTGACTCCAAGCGACGTAGGGAAACTAAACAGACTCGTGATACCAAAGCAGCACGCAGAGAGATACTTCCCTTTGGATTCAACCTCAAACGAGAAAGGTTTGCTTTTAAACTTCGAAGATCTCACAGGAAAGTCATGGAGGTTCCGTTACTCTTACTGGAACAGTAGCCAGAGCTATGTCATGACTAAAGGTTGGAGTCGTTTCGTTAAAGACAAAAAGCTCGACGCCGGAGATATTGTCTCTTTCCAAAGATGTGTCGGAGATTCATCAGGAAGTGACAGCCGCTTGTTTATCGATTGGAGGAGAAGACCTAAAGTCCCTGACTATCTGACATCGACTTCTCACTTTGCTGGAGGAGCAATGTTCCCTAGGTTTTACAATTTTCCGACAGCAACATGTTACAATCCGTATAATCATCAGCAGCCACGTCATCATCACATTGGTTACAGTTATCCACAGATTCCGAGGGAATTTGGATACGGGTATTTCGTTAGGTCAGTGGACCAGAGGGCGGTGGTGGCTGATCCGTTAATGATCGAATCTGTGCCGGTGATGATGCACGGAGGAGGTCGAGTTAATCAAGAGGTTGTTGGAACTGCCGGAAAGAGGCTGAGGCTTTTTGGAGTCGATATGGAATGCGTTGAGAGTGGAGTAACCCACAGTACGGAGGAAGAATCTTCATCTTCCGGTGGGACTTTGCCGCGTGCCGGAGGTGGCGGTGCTGCTTCATCTTCCTCTTTGTTTCAGATGAGACTTGGAAGCAGAAGTGAAGATGATCACTTCCTTAAGAAAGGAAAGTCTTCATTGCCTTTTGATTTGGATCAATGATGAAGATGAGATTAGTTGGTATTATAAACTTAAACATACATAATTCTTTATATATACGACAACATATATAATGCATTATCTTCATTTTTCATTTAGCGAGAATTAATGATATATATGTTCTAGTGATGTACATGCATAATCCATATAGAGGAATTTTATGGATTTGAATAGTCTTTGTCGAGTGTTCTTAAAAAAAATGTTGATTGTGTATACATATGAAGTACCTCCACCATTTGTTAGTACTTTTTACCATTTTACTCAATATATGATCTATCAGTTGATTGAATTATTAAATTACTTTTGGCAAAACATATCTTAGGTTATGTAACAAGATTGCAAGGCTGTATATAGTAGAAAAAATGGGTACAAATAAGTGAGATTTGTAAGAAGAGACATGAACTAGGATTGGGATCAGTGTAAACACATATCTCTCTTCTTCGGTCAGAAAGTTTCAGATCAGTTTTAAGTTCAAAAAAAAAGTTTCAGAGTTTGATGGGCTGTCTTAGAAAAATGAGATGTCTCTATATAGGATTGCTGCTTTTTGTATATATATATATATATATATATATATATATATGCGTCTCATTAATTATTGTCCCTGCAATAAAATTTGTTATGGTTTCTATGTTTGGATTACTAAATATGGCTGCTGCTGCTGCTTTTCTGTGAAGCTATTGCTGGATATTAGTTAGGCAGGTAGACTTGCAGGAGATGGGCAGTGACAAAACAATAACTTTAAAAAACTTGTTTCTTTATATTACCGTGTGATGTCTATATTAGCAAAAAACAAAAAAAGAGAAGAGTTTTTCTTTCTTTCTTTTTCATCTTGGGGCGATTGAAAAAGGTTTTTTTTTGTGCAACTTCGGTAAAAAAAAAAAGTATGATCTGTTTTCACATATTCTTTTCTGATGCAGTGATTAAGTACTATTACAAAAGATAAAGGCTATGAAAGTAAGAAAATTAACAAAATAGTATTTTGGGTTTCTCTTTTCGTCTCTTGGTCTGAACTCTGCAACTCTATAACTAGATATCAATGCAGAAACACATTTAGTGTAAATATGTTATAGTAATACCCTTACGTAAGATGTGATGATATCCAAATCTTATCCGATTATCTAGCAAGATTTATCACGAGTATACATATACATATATAGCTAATTTTATACTCTGCCAAATGACTTGCATGGTTTTGTTATAAACGCATACATTCATTAGTCAAATTTCAAACGTTATATAGGGATTATTAGTATATATATATAGCTAACTAAATCTATTATGTTAAAACAAAAGTACAAAACAATACTTTCTTATTTTTAAATGACTTTTATAGATTTTCTTTTCATTTTTAATAATTTTAATCATGTGGGAACCGAAATTCACACCTGTCGATTTCTGTAAAATAAGGAAAGTTAGGGAAACCCTAATTTTCCAGAGGAACCAGATCTCTGCGAAAGCCAACGACAAGTAACCAAGAACGCGATTAATATGAATAAATTGAAAGATATAAAAAGTAAAAATGAGAATGAAAGCAAGAAGGATTCTTATTCCGAATTCGCGTAAGAACGGTTACAACGAGAGTTGCCTTAGCTGCGTGAGCCGTCGGCAAAATTCATAGTTCTAGCAATCCAAGACTAAAACCCTAGTTGAGACGCAGCTCGATAACGAAAACGGAAAATTGCCTAAATGCTAAGTTTGGTGGTGTAAGCTCTGAAAACTCGTGTCCCTTGCTTCTGCCCTAGACCTCTTATTTATATACTCCTCGCCTTGGCCATTCGGTCTTTCCATTTCGCCCAGATTTGACTATATCGGGAATTTTCCGTTTTTCTCGATCCTTCTATTTTTCTTCAAACCTTCCTTTTATCTTCAAACTTGACATTTATTTTCCTCCTGCGAGTAAACCGTCAAAACGTTACCGTATCTTCAGGTTAGATTCCGTTAAGATCGCGAGATGGGTTTTTATCGCGTTTTAAGACCTTTCGGGCCGTTCTGCGATAAATCCGTTTTCCGACTTAGTACGGGATCGTTTCCTGATCTGATGCAGTTTTTAGTAAATTCCTCGAGCTAATCTTAAGGTTGTACGATTTACTTGACGTTTTTATTAAAAGCGCGTTTTTTACGATTTACTCGACATTTTTATTAAAAACGTGTTTTTACGATTTTAACGAGAAATTTCGAATAAATCATATAGTTTAGGAAATGTTCGGTGTTTCGTTTAACCATTGCCGTTTTATACGATTTCCTCGAGTTCTTTGTCGAGAAAACGAAGTTTTACGGTTTTATCGTAAAACTCGAACGATAGGTCGGATCGAGATGGAACGGGAGACGTTTCGGCCGTGGTTCAGAATGCGACCGTGTCGAAAGACGTAAGTTTTGAATCGGGGATGCGGGAGATCAAGGCTCGGGACGTCCAGGAAGTCTCTAGTTCGTTCAACGGCGAACTAAGCCGGCCGGCTTAGTTCGCCGGTGGGCGAACTAGTCGGGACGGGACTAGTTCGCCCACCTAGTTCGTGTTTTACGGCTGTTTCGGTTTTTTGTGGTTTCGTAAAACGATCTTCGAGTTTTATAAAACGATCTTCGAGTTTTATAAAACGATCTTCGAGTTTTATAAAACGGTTTCTCGAGTTTTATAAAACGATCTTCGAGTTTTATAAAACGGCTTCTCGAGTTTTATAAAACGATCTTCGAGTTTTATAAAACGGCTTCTCGAGTTTTATAAAAAGATCTTCGAGTTTTATAAAACGATCTTCGAGTTTTATAAACGGCTTCTCGAGTTTTATAAAACGATTTCGAGTTTTATAAAACGGCTTCTCGAGTTTTATAAAAAGATCTTCGAGTTTCATAAAACGATCTTCGAGTTTTATAAAATGGCTTCTCGAGTTTTATAAAATGATCCTCGAGTTTTATAAAACGATTCTCGAGTTTTATAAAACAATTCTTCGAGTTTTATAAAACGATTCTCGAGTTTTATAAAATGATTCTTTGAGTTTTATAAAACGATTCTCGAGTTTTATAAAACGATCCTCGAGTTTTATTAAACGATTCTCGAGTTTTATAAAATGATCCTCGGGTTTTATAAAACGATTCTCGAGTTTTATAGAACGGTCCTCGAGTTTTATTAAACGATCCTCGAGTTTTATAAAATGATTCATCGGGTTTTACAAAACGATTCCTTTTATATTTCTGCGGGGAGCTTCGGCCGTTGATTCCGTCGTACCGATTTTGACCCCAACAGTTAGCCCCCCAGCTCGTAAGAATCTTGAGCCTTTAGCGTAAGGTTCTTGCGAGTGGTTAACCAGTTTTAGTTAAGTTAGGCGGAATTAATGGTCGGAAAGGTCCGTTGAAAGTGATCTTTCCACTCTCCAGGGAGCGGAAAGCATTTAAGATTAGGGCTGCGCCTTGTGAAGGCTGCCTACGTACCCTTTTGAGGGGATCAAGCCTTTCGTAGTTCGTTACAGAGTTAAGGTTCGTATGACCTGTTTCCCAGCAAGACCTTTACGGTCTAGTTATATGTTTATCGAGCATATTGATGTCGATGGCATCTTGACCTTTGCCGGCCTTGAGACTAGCCTCGTAGGCCATTTGGTATGGCTGAGCGTGGCCGTTATAGTTTTCGGACTGGCCGTGTGCGGCTCTGAGTCCCTGCCGCTTTTGCGGCTTTATTAAAAATCAGTTTGCGTTTTTAAGAGCGTGTTTTTATTCGTATGAATGTAGCTGGAAGATTATGAGTTGATATTGAGGGAGGTCCGCGAGTTGTCGTCTCGCATTCCTTTTTCCCTTAGTGTATCGACTTGTTCGTTTGCCCATTTTAGGATGTTTAGTAAATCTAGTGAGCGTTTAGATATAGACAAAGAGACATGCCTTTAGGATCTCGATTCATGCCTTGAGACGTTAGAAACCAGTGTGCTGGGTTTAGGGTAAGACCTAGGTTTACTTTCGGATTGAGGCTATGCGATGACTAGTCGGCTTTCGTTTCGCCTGTTGCGATTTTAACCTGATTCCATACCGATTTAGAATCCGCGATAGGTTCTCGGCTTATACGATTCGTCTGGTTGGAACCGAGCATCTCACCGGGAACAGTTTCTAAGTTGCCCGGAAGTGCTGACCAAAAGTTTGGATTTCTTTTATAGCGCTATTACCCTTGTGTCGGGTGTTCAAGAGCTATCTCTGGGAGATAACTTAAGTTTGTTTAGGACTGTTGCGAGTTTGTTGTGATCAGCAACAAACTTTTTAGGCGATAAATGTTTACGCTGTTTTGGCCTTCGCGAAGGATACGTACGTTAAGATGTTTTGCGTAATTTTATAGTCGCGGACGGACTGTTAGGTCTTCCAAGAAAAAGACTTTATCGAGGAAGGTATTTATGTCGAAAAACTAATCTCCGGGCGTCTGCGACGTCTTGCAGTGCCGAAAGTTGGTTTTTATTTTATATGCCGCGTTTCGTGTTCGGAACGTTTGCGGGCTCGAAGATGTTGCGCGGTGTTGCGAGGGTTTTGTCTTAACCTTGCTTTGCAGGAATACTTTGGTTCGTTTGCGGATATTCGCAATTAAAACTTAAATTCCTGTTTGGATGTTAGGTAGTTTTATGATTTGTGCTAAAGCAATTGGGACCGAGAGTTCGTGTAAGTTGTTTCCCCGAACGAAGCGTTCTTCGTTACGGTGCTTTGTGAAGTGTTGACCTTCCGAGATTCGTACGGCTTTAGGAGCTCTGGTACGAGTCTTTTCTTATACATCGGATTTTGTAGGCAACTTGCTTCGGGAATAGAGTGAATCGCGAGAATACAGAACTTAGCCGATTTTCGACAAGTTTGCATTATCCGTTGAATGTATTGGCTTGGCGGGAAGGTTGTGTTCAACCGCACAGCCAAGGTCGTATTTGGTAGAGGATTAGACCGCGACACTTTCGTGCTATCGAAAAGGTCGAGTCGGTTTGTAAACCTGGCATTGAAGTGAAGCGCGATCAGACAATAGCCGAGTAGCGTTTGTCAAGCTTGATATGCCAAGTATGCCCGTGTTTATAGAAAACATTTTTCTGTTGTAGGTTTGATTTATACGATGAAAGTTTCGTATAAACTTTCCTTTGTATGGAAGTTGTTTCTTTTTTACTCGAGGTAGACAGATCCTAAGAAGCTCGATGCAGAGCCCGTGCGGAGTCGTTTGCGGGGCGGTCTCATTCTCAGATGCAAACGGGAGGAATGAGAGCGGA